GGACTGGTTTACGGTTTATAGAGGCCATTTTCCGTATAAAAGAGTACCGTTTTGAGATTTTTTGTCCGGCATGGCAGGTTTCCGTCTAACAAAGGTTCGACTTCAGGGTTTACTTATTATCTTATTTTTGGTCAAAAATATGTGATAAGACTATCTACAGCTGATCCCTTCACTTACTTTCTATTTCGGTTTCTCTGTTTCAAATACCCGATTTAGGCACAAGCAGCTGCCTATGGCCACAAATTTTTACTGGCGGATGAATGTTTATAATGAATACATTTTAAATATCAAAAATATAAATTACTTTATCATCGTTATTAGAAGTAGAATTATCTATTTTGGTTTTATTATCATACTGTAAAATTAAACTTAAATTGAAACTTGTAAAATTTGATAACAGGCATTGAAAAATTCGATCAAATAGAAATGTGAAAACTCACATTAAATTATGGTTACGTGGACACATTTCGTCACTTTTCCATCTATCTATCTGTTTTTCTATTTCATGAATGCTAATTCACAGACTTCGCTTGCCTCCTCTGACACTCAACTGGAACGAAACACTGACTCTTTGAGACACCTGAAGTACCTTCGGCTGAAGTACAGCAACTATGAATAATTATTTTACATGATTATTACATTAATAATTCAAATATACGCTAATATCGACCTCTATATAAATGAAGTCATAGGATTCCGCGGCCAGTCATGCGCGTGATTTTGGCTCTCCGGATGACGCCACGTCGAAGGCTGTGTTGCCAACGTTTCGACCATCCCTGACCAGGCAGACCAGCCCTGAGGAAGATCAAGACAAGATGGTCGAAACGTCGGCAACACAGCCTTCGACGCGGCGTCACCCGGACAGCGAATATCACGCACACGACCTCTATATAGTTGAGTTCTATTTTTGCTTTATATTATTATTTTTTTCAGTGGATTGAAAGAATGCACCCTTCAAATTAAAAAAAAAGTATACACTCTTTAACCCCTGACATACCGAACACAAAACAAAAATGGTGCATACAGAATAAAAGCTTTGTCTCTTCTTCTTTCTCGTAATCTAATAATGTGTGTCTGAGATGCTCTTATAAATATTCATCGAAATTCACAGTTTTTGCATTTTCTCGATGTTACTGGTTTTCGGAAATGAAGGTAAAAGCAGACTTTCTTAATAAATCTACCTTTTGTGACATGTGTCCGTCAACCTGATACGAATACGTTCTTTAATAAATTTTAAATACTGATAATGAAAGTATTTTGTCTAAATTGTATCTTTAATATTATCCGGCATACTTACTTGCCAAAATTAAGATGTTTATCAGTACATTGCATTACGATATGCGCCATTTTGCAAAAAGTTGTACGATTTATGTGGAAGCTTCACCACTTAAGCCCGTCCGAGTAGTCTGCCGAAGTAGCGCGCAATGCAGAACTTATTCATACCGTTCTAATGCGACATTGAACAGCGAGCGCACAGCAATTCCAACGACCGGCTGGCGATGTCGGGCGTATTCGTAGGGTTATGCGTCACACAGGATGTCGTTGTATGACAAATGACATCCATTTATAAATTAGCGTTTGTTGTCGTTAGTATTCGCAAAAAAAGATTTTTTCTTCGACATTGCCTAAAATACTTCCTGAAATGACAGAATAATACCTGAAATGACTTAATTTGGATAACTAAACTTACGCCAGATACACAAAAACGTAAATTGAAATTGAGTGATAATAACATTAGCATGTAGAATAGATCAAATAACTTATTTTACATAAGAGTATATTACATTAAAAATATTGGTGCAAAAGATCGACAATCATCAGACATTTTTGAATGTATTCTACACAATTAATCTCTTCATCACAGATTCAGAAAAGCATGCTCATTCTTTCTTGAAAATAATAGTACTGAAGTTAAGTATATGCAATTTCAATTTCTAAAACATTTCCATTTATAGAGAGGAATACTTCCATTATCTAAGAATCTCATTTTCATTCATCTGTAAATCTTTCTCGTTGGATATAATTCATATGCTCTGAATTTCAAGCTTGATCGAAGCCAATTTCTCTCAGAATATCAGCTTTAGACTCTCCTTTTGTTTCTGATACACAGAAATAGGCGACAATTGCGCAAATAATGCATACAACACCAAAAATTAAATATGTTACCTCTTGGCCAGCGTGTTATAACTTTAAGGGTGATTCCTTCACGACGACAAACACGCAGAAATTACGCAAACACTCGTTTTTTCAAAACATTGTGCATGATCTTTTATACAATTTTCTTTACAACAAAATTTGTGTAAGGCAAATATCTCTATATTCAGTTATGTAGTTTTCAAATTTTAATTTTTTTTCTTTTTTTAAAAAGACGGAACGAAATACGAAAATGGGAATAGCACTATAGATTTCACTGTTTTTTATTACTTATGTAGAGAAATTTTAAAAAATAGACCGGTTTTTGAGAAAAATAATTCTTTTAAATTGCCAATATTTTGCACATAGTTTCACATAATTACAGTATCTCCTTTCTTCCAACATTCCATCCATTCTGCACATATGAACACACAATTTATATTGACTATCTTTTCCTTATATTCCGGAGGCACCGCTTATCTTTTGCCTTCTTTATGCAATATAATTTGCATTTCTGGTGAGCATTAACCCAGAGAAAGATAACCTTACTATTGTGCAAGACTATGTAACTGGGACAGCGTTACTGAAGAAGTTGCAGCTTGTCATATATGTTGGAAAACAGTTATTAAAAATTATAAGGTGAAAAATGTAACAAATATTGTACGTAATAATCGTTGATGATGCTGGAGCTGATTTCCCTTTATGGAGGTCCCATGATGATTGCTTGGTGGGTGTCCTTTTTCCCGATACTACTTAGCACATTAGTATCAAAAACCAATTAACTGTCTCAATTACTTTGGATCTTAATGAAACTTATAACATTGAATCACTTTACTGTTAACTCTAAGAGGCCTAAGAGAAAGTATTGTACCCCAGGACATGTTATTGTCATTTATTTCATTTAATGATACTATCTGTTTGACCATTTTTTACCGAAATAGTTTTCCCTAATTTAGCGACAATGCGCTCAGTAGAAAAAATACAATAAATATTTTTCTAGATATAATTTTTTCTCGCCAGGGGATACAAAATGTATCTCTCTGTACATGTGGTAGTTAATCATTCTACCATTTTTCTGCGTGACTCCTTAAGCAATTTGTAAATATAAGTATTGTAGTAACGTCAGTTCCTAAGGAGGTGCTTGCTGACCCCAGTCGTACAAAAATAATTGTGTATATTTTTATCAAGATATTATATTTACTAAACCCTTAAAACTACAAATTTCTTCAAAAAATCCACTTTTAATACCAACCTGACTTTTAATATCAACTCTCCTCCATAAGAATCCTTCTTTTTCTCCATTCATCCAACATTTCTGACATCAGTGAATAAAGTGCAAAATATTCGCACTCTTATCGCCTTACTAAAATTGCTCTCTTAAGGCTTTAATTCTTAACATTTAACATTTTATTTTAGAATGAAACTATTTGAATTTGATCTCATTGAAAACTACAATTTATTTATTTAAAAACAATGGTGTCTTTGGTGTGGTGGGGGGCTTTGTATTGCAGTCCGTTCAGTCCACCCTAAATAGCTGAAACATATGCTATTGAAATCTGTCAGTACAAGATTTCTTCCAAACGACTGGAACAGAGAGAAAATTTGAAATTACAGTGCGTACTAAATTAAAATATATTTTAATTCTGGATTGATATTAGTCATGAGTCGTTCAGCAGCAGTGACTTAGCCATTGCTACTATTCGAAGAAAGCGAGTAGACTCCCCGAAGCGCATGCAACCGCTAGGACGCCTCAGGCACGCACCCATTACGCGAGGTAGAAGTGCCGTTTGTTTGGATAAGTTTTTGATGAGAATGATGAGAAAAGATAACTAACGGGGCGGCGATGATGTAACGGTTAGCGTACTGGACTGTTGTACCCAAGTTCGCGGGTTCAAACCCCATTGAAGCCGTGGATTTTTAAGGGCGAAAAATCCTTCGTACGCCTTCCTCCGTAAGGTTAGTAAAGCCGGCTGTCCCTTGTCAGTAGATTCACTTGCATGTAAAAGGTTCTCAAGCCTAACTAACGCCTTTGAGCTAAATTCAAATCGCCTGTTTCGCGCCCAAGAAATAGATCCTTTCTCTGCTAGTTGATGAAAGAAGCGTACCGAAATTTGCGTGATCAGACGGAAGAGCGGTCCTGATGACCCGAGTCTCGCCACGTAAAATAAGGCCAATTCAATTCAATTAATGAGCTTAGAGAGACGCTGTAAACAGCTCTGCAAAAAGAAATCTACAACTCCTACAATCTACAAAACAGTAGATAACGTGGATATTTTTATTTTCTCGCGCTTACTTCGTAAGAAGAAAAAGTTATGTAATCGTGCACCGGAAAACGGCGAATTTTTAGCAGAAAAACTCTTATTGCCCAGCCCTGGTAACCAAAATGTGGAAAACTCCTGTTGCTATATACAGGTGATTTAGTCCTCGTTGGAAATACTGGACCCTGAAATAGAGTAAATTCAGTTATTCATGAGCACAAAAGAAAAGAGTGTGAAACCTATTCAAGTATTTGGAATGAAGTTTTGCTCATTGGCCATTTTTTGCATAAAAGTAACCCAAATATTACATTAAATATTTTGCCATGATGCTATTTTATCCTACTTATTTAATGAATAGAATGGAGAGAGAAGAAACTATTATTGAAGTGCTATTTAGAATAATTTATTATTTGCAAATAGAGCCATAATTTCGCATTTCACCTCGAATAGGAAAGGCTTGCTCGTTAACGCAAGATCGGCATCTGCACAAAACAGACTCCGTGTCGCGCACAAATCTGTCAGGTCATCCCTTCATTTCTGCCGCCACGCTTCTATACGCGGAAGGCGCATCACGATTCACGACCTTAATAGTATAAACGTGGTCTTTCATTAACCCCAAGAAAAAAAAACATAGTCCAGCAGATTTACACCCGAAACCGAGACGGCCATGTTATTTGTGCCTCCTTGTCCGATTTGAACGTGACGTCCTCCAAAAGTGTAGGAAGTGTCTGAGGTATAAAATTCAGATACTGAACGCCTCTGAGATACTCGATTAAGTACTGAGGACCGACGGTAAGTTCATCCACAATGCCAACACTCACAATTACAGAGAATCATTCTTGGTGAGCTACATGAAGTATATGTGAAGTACACGGGAAGGTTGCCATGAGGGTAAACTGCGTTCTGGCGGGATCCAGACACCAACATGTTTGCGTACATTTACATGTACGGCTAACGCTTAGGTGCCACCCCTAGTACTCGTAGCAATCCCACTGATAGAAAAAGGGACAGGGTGGTGAAGTAGCATACGTGAGGTATACACGTCGGCGATCCTACACAGGCGAATCATGTCTTATAAAAAATAACGGATTGTTTAATAACTGCCAATTGTTAATTTATCCTCAGAGAACTCTGAAAACAGTGTTTTCAGTGGCTTACGAGTTTCATGTCTGTATCTCATCGGAGCACTCTTTGCAAAACCCTAACTTCGGTGAGAGTCACGCATACACAAAAATCATCATTGCATACCCTATTGCAGTAATCTACACACGCGTTGTAGCTCTAGCTAGTCGGTGCCAGGAGACAGACATTACAAAGTCCCGGTGTTTTCGTTGGTATTCTGGGTTTTACTCTCGCAATATTAGCAGCATGCTTACTCATTCGCCTCAGCGTAAGTACGAGTCTGTAATCGCTACAAAATTAGTAAAGTTGTGGTTAAATTTCTATGCGGTAAGGAATCATTTCTCAGCAAATTGCTTTATTCCATACAGATTATCTCATTTAACAGAACTCGCTGGTGTGCATTTTACAATGCAAGAGTCTCATTCTCAACTTGTATAACTTCACATTGCATATAAAATTTCATATTAGTCTTAAATATCAAGCATTTTTTCCTCCAATTTCTTTCAGTATATCAGCTTTATTTTTTCCTTTGGTTTCTGGTACGAAGAAAAAAATAAAAAATGCAGAGATGACGCATATAACACCAAAAATTATGTATGTTGCTACTTGGCCAGCATGTTCCAAAAGCAAAGGTGATTCCTTCACGACGATAAACATAATAATCCTGTTAGTGCAGACCCCAAGAGCGCTAGCCCAGCCTTTTGAATACATCGGTAATAATTCTGCCATTAAAAACCATGGAACGGGCCCAAAACCTATAGTAAAAGCCACAGTATAAGTTACCACTGACACAAGAGGCACCCATCTCCATCCTGCCGTGTCCCAATTGTCGCTGTTCAATTGCGCATATAGCGCCAAAGTAAAAAGGCAAAATCCCATGAGAATAGCTGACACTAGCAAGAGGAAGCGACGCCCAATTCTATCTACTGTTGCAGTCGCTGCAATAGTGGAGATAACAAACGCAGTCGCCGCAATTATAGAGGACAGAGAGCTGGAAATATTTCCTCCGGCCTGTTGAAAAAGTTGCACAAGGTAAAATGTAAACATACAAATTCCGCTCATTTGTTGAAAAAACATTAAAGCTATCACAAGAGCCAGGCTTCTAAGAGCATTGGATTGCCAAGGTCGGTTAGAGCAAAGACTACAGAATGAGATTTCCTGATACGTCGTTGCCTGCGATCTGGACGCAAGCATGTTTTCCACTTCTGCCTTGAAGTCTACATCTGGCCCTCGCAGCCACCGAAGGGCTTGTTGGGCGTCACTGACACGTCCACATGCTGCCAGGTACGCCGGTGATTCCGGCATCCAGCAAAAGGAGAATACGAAGACCACGGGTAAAATGGCCGCTGATACTGTGAACCAGAAGTAAGGCAGCGAGGCTCCCAGAGTGTAGACTACAAGAAGGCCGACGCACTGCATGGCGAAATGCAAACTGCCGAGAGCTCCTCGCACACGTATGTCGGCAATCTCCTCGCAGTAGAGGGAGACGGGGCCGCTGACGGCTCCTAATGCGAGCCCAGTGAGCGCGCGGCCCACCATCAACAACCATACCTGCAGAACACGAGAAGAACACGCTAAAACACACGCCCAAAACGAGGGAACCTCAGGACCTATGACCTGCTTCCGGGTTTCGGCATCAATTGGCACCCTTCAGTAAAAATACCGTCTCGAAAATTGTAACTAGCACAAATTTTCACCCTCATTGCCGTTTAATCAAACACTGTCACAAACCAAACCCGTTTATTACATGAGCCAGAGGCAACAGGGTGAGTCTGGCCCAGCCAACGCCAGGAACAGTTGAGCCGAGTAGCGTGGGTCGCATGCCCTTGTGGAAAACCATCCACCATAACTACTTATCAAAGTATTAGCACTTGAAGATGTAACCTACCGATGGCCCCGCGAACGCCATGAGCAGCCAGCCAACGAGCGTGGGCAGCGCGCCGAGCAGCAGAGCGCCCTTGCGGCCAACCCTCTCGGCCAGAGGGCCAGCGACGAGCGCGCCGCCTAGCGACGCCAGCGGCATCAGCCCGCCCACCCACGACGCCTGCTCCAGCGACAGGCGCAGCGGCTGGGCGTCCTCCACCTGCCCCAACAGGATGGGCACCGCGGGCGCAGTCCATCCTATCGTAATCCCCGTCACCAACGACGGGATGTTGGCTGCAACAAATAGAGTAAAACGTATCTATGACAGGACTTTGTAAGAAAAAACTGCAATATCTGTCACTATCACAGAACTAAGGGATTTTATACATGATAGCATCTGTATGCCGGAAGCCGGCTTAACGCACAAAAATAATGTTTTCTGTAGGAGTCGAATGATTATTTTTTGGTTATGAAGATCATTGAAAAATCTCTTGTTTCGTTTTCATCCATATTACGCTGCTTTGAACCATTCACATCAACATAAGAATCATTCGTGATTGTGGCACTGTTGTTGCAATTCACACACGCGCG